CCTTTTTTTTTTTTTTTTTTTTTTTTTTTTTTTTCAGGCAACCGGCAAGGTCGGACACAGAAAAAAAATATATGGGCGTGCAGGGCTTTTTCAGCCCTGCACGCCCATTTTTTTATTTTTTTATTTGTGCGCTAAAGTATTAAAAAAAAAATGTTGCACCATAGTTGGCCGGTCGGCCGTGGCCGAACCCGGCCAATTCGGCCGTCGGCCTTAACCATAGCCGATTTTTGGTCTCCGGTCATGACCGGGCGCTACGTTGCGACTCGTACTCACCCACGTACGAGTACAAGTTGTACTCATTTCTTGTACGCTACTTGTACTCAAGGCCCGTACGAGTTTTTTTAATTATTTTTTGCTTACTGTTTTTATTTGTTTTCTCCAATTTCAATTAGAATCTGCAGATGGTGCTCAGGCAAATGTTGCTTGTTTTGGGATGTTACATCACATATATGTTTTTCGGATTTTTTGAATGACGTTTTTTTTTTTTTTTTTTTTTTCGTACGGATCGTACGGGGGCGTACAGGTTCCCGTACATATATCATCTGTACGTTTCGTACGGAAAGGCCCCGTACATGTACGCTCGGTAACGCAGACCGGGCGTGCAACATAGCCCCCGGGGCCCCGTTGAATCTCCGTTGAATAGTACATCGGGCCCTTCCCGTTGAATACTGTTCAACAGGGAGGGCGCATTGGGCCTCAGACACATCGGTGGGCGCACGTGGAGCGGAAAAAAGAAAAGAGAACGTTCTATTCTACGCCATGATTTTTTTTTTAAATAAAAAACAAAAAATAAAGAAAAATAGAGGGTCTTGCTCCATGATTCTAGACATGCACAAAAGACAAAAATCATGGCGGCGCATCTTTCCATGTTGTAGGGGAGGATTCACTCTCGTTTTGCTCATCCAGAGAGTAGTGGAGCGAGGGGGGCTCAAGTACTCTTGAAATGTGCAAAACGAGAGTGAATCTTCTCTTAGAACATGGAAAGATGCACCGCTGTGAGGCCCCAAGGATGACATGCATAGGTCTGGAAATGTGACGAGGACAGATAAAAGACAAAAAAAAATGAAACGAAACTGGGTTGTTGTCAGCACGAGTATCCCTTACTAAGGGCCTCTGCGTTGTTGTCAGCCCGTGTATCCCGTTGGGCCCTTGTATCCCTGTGGCACAAAAGACAAAAATCATGGCGATGTATCTTTCCATGTTCAAGAGAAGATCCACTCTGGTTTTGCACATTTCGAGATCAATCGTGGAAACAGAGAGTGAATCTTCCCCTACCCACGGCCACGACCGAACTCGGCCGCGGCCAGGGGGGAACATAGGTGAGGACGATGATGATCCCGGCTATTCCCTGACATGCCGACATGGTGACGACGACGACAAGGGCGGTGACGGTACACAGCCTGCGGGTGGTTTACAGAGGTCCGAGAGACACCGTGGTGACCGTTGCAGTGGTGCAGGCAGGGGAGGCATCGGGCCGGGTGTTGGGGGTGCAGGGCACACAGTGAGTGACACAGGTGGTGCAGACCGTGCTGCTCGAGGACGGGGGAGGCAAGAGTACGCATCGTTCACTCGCACTGTACACTGGGATGATGAGGGTGCCGCGACAACACAGGTTGCTGCCGCGTCGGCAGAGGTCGCTGCCTCCCCTGCAGAGTTTACTGAGGTTGCAGCCGGGTTTGTAGAGGTTGCTGCCGCCTCGACAGAGGTTGCAGTCGGGTCTGCAAAGGTTGTTGCCGCGTCTGCAAACGCTGTTGCAGCGTCGGCAGAGATTGCAGTCGGGTCTGCAGAGGTTGGTGGTGCGGCTACAGAGGTTGGGAGGGCATCTGCACAGTTGAGTGCCACTTTCAGCGATGACATGTTTGGTGCTTCATTGGGGCCTCCTCCGACGCCGATAGGCGAGCGTGGTAGTGGTGGTGTGGACGCACAGGCTACGCCCATCAGTCAAATCCTTAGAGGTTTGCCTTCATGCGGCGTGGGTGGCATCAACAGCAGCATGTTGCGGGAGGTAGCGAAGGAGACACAGGGTTCGTTGGGGCAGCATGAGCATGTAGTAGGGGATGATGGGGAGTGCTGACCTGTGCAGGAGCGAGTGCCAGAGTCGAAGCAGGAGAAGACTGGCCGCGAGGAGAGGGAAAGGGCGCTGGAGTTGGCTAGGCGCTGCGAGATGACACAGACTATTGCAGCGAGGGCACGTGTAGAGCGGATGCTCGAGACGGGTGATGGTGCGGGCCATTGTACGACGGAGGATGCAGAGGTTGAGTGTGGCGGTGTGGTCAGTGGGGATGCAGGCGAGAGACCTGCATCGTCAGTTCATGGTGTTTGTGTATTGCCATTCGTTGGAGCTTTGTCGGCGGGGGAGTTAGAGCGGCAAACACGGGAGGACCCATTGCGGGCAGATCGACGTGGACGGATGGATGAGGCGTCAAGGAGGGTCATGGCAGAGGGCCCTGCTTATGTGCCGTGCAGCCCGTCAGTGCCATCGTCTACCACAAATGCCATTCTGCCCACACATGTAGAGGGTTTAGGCACGACACCGAGTCCCTCATCGGCACCTGGAGGGGAGTCTCCTTCTCCCAAGTCACGAAAGAAGAAGATGAGAGCAGGAAAGAGTCTTAGTACTATGAGGAGGGTGACCCACCAGATGCGGGCGAGTCAACCTGGGTTGGCCGATTTACATCCGCATACTCGGGAGACATTGTGCAGGGACGTTGTTGCGGATGCAATAGGTTGGTGGGAGAGGGCCTCTAACCGGGGGACGGAGCAGACGATGAGTGCACCTGCTGAGGCGGCGGTGCCACGTCCTGGAGGGCGGACTTCCACTACCGCTAGGGAGGAGCATGACGAGCGTCACAGACACCCGTCGGCTGGGAGTCGGGTACCGACGATTTGGAGATGCTTGTCTGCCAGCGGAAGAGGGTTTCCTTATAGGCTTATACGGCCTTCTTCGAGCACGGAGCGGGGTCGAGGCGACATCACAGGGAGGGATTCATGCTCCGGACACGGCGCACAAGCCGGTAGGTGGCACAGGTGGCGGGGATGGTACCACTAGTGTGGCGCTGCAGAGGAGGAGGAAGGACATTGTGGACGACGATGATGCTTAGTCCCACCATTGGTCCTCTTTCGTCCTCTATTTCCTAGTAGTGTATAGTACCTTTAGTACTTCAGATGAGGTCATGTGTTTATAGGTGCAGTATGTGCAGCTCGTCATGACTGGATGTGTACTCGTATTGATGTTTCATGAGATTGCAGTCTTCATACATAGGCGCAGTAGGCTACGAAACACCCGCGGACGCGTCTGCGGGGTCGAGCTCGGAGGGCGGCTGTGATCACGGCCGCCTCGGCTCCGGCCGCGACTTTCAGGAATTTTTTTAGACTTTAAAAAATTCTCATAAACCAAATAAAAAAATATGGGGTTGTAGATCTTTTCGAGATCTAAATTGAGCAATTGTTTTTTTTTCTTGACTTAATCTTCGAATTTTAAAAATTCAAAAACTAATTTTCCTGAGGCAAAAGTTTTTTTTTAAAAAAAAAAGAAAAAACCATGAAACTTATGTGATTTTTTATTTTCAATTCAGTAACGTTTTTGGATATGACCACAAGGCAAAAGTTGTTCAGTATATTTTTCTGCATAACATTTTTTTTATAGAATTTTTTGAATTATTCTTTTTTTTTTTTTTTTTTTTTTTCATGGCCGCAGCCGCAGCCTAGGCCGCCCATGGCCGCCTCCGGGGGAGATTCATAGGCAGTAGGTGCAGTAGGTGCAGTTTTTTGTTTTTTTCCTTTTTTTTTTCTATCGATGTTTCACACAATTGCACACTTTCTTCATATATTGTTTGACTGAGTTCACTCTCCATGTTTCTTTTATTGTGGTGTGTTTATGGTGCAGCTATTTTGCCTTGTTTTCGTTGGCCCGTCATGTTCTACTTTCGAAATTTCTGCAATGAATGTCACTTAATGCTTTTCAAAATTGTCGTTGTTTGAAATAGGCGCAACTTGATGCAGTCTTCAACTTGTTTCGTCGTGTGTTTCATTCGCCTCTCATGCAGTTGTCAGTAACCCCCAGACAACCCTCCCCAACCCCCGAAGACGACCTTGGCATAGTTCCCAAGACCGGACCCC